CACGGTTCGACCCAGACTGAAGAGGCTTTGTGCTCACTCAGAGCTGCACAAGTGAGGAGAGAACAATGGACAGAAAACACTGTTGAATAAAAATTAGGGGGGGAAAACTCTACAAATGTTTAAAAAATAGATAATAGATAGATACCAAAAGTTGGTCAGGTATATATATGTATGACTCTGCATACATGTTCAAGTACATCTTCCTTTACTAAAGTAAAACCAATTAATACCCACAAAAAAGGGCTTGTAAACAGTCCAGTATAAGGAATGAAAAACTGTACTAGTAGCTGATAAGCTGACTAAGTCAAAGTACTCAACCCCTTTTTTGCATTGAACAAAAGAAGCCAGACATCTCAATTACTTCTTTTCCACTAAATTAGCTCTGGTTCATGGGTAGGTTCGGTTCAGGAATCCCGGAACCTTCCTGCTATCTAGCAACCAGCCTGCATTTGCATATTGGTTTTGAACGAAACCAATGTAATGGAGGATGCGTCATCAATAGAGGGCGTAGCACAATGCATCACAGAAGTAAATAGTAGTAGCAACATGAGGGATCACATTAATTACTTATGAACTGTTGTTCTGTTGTAACAGATATTTATAGTTATCCAAAAACAAGCATGGAACAGCTATTAATGAGTCCACTACACATCCTTTTTCTCTTAATGTCTCTATTGTTGCCTTCTCAATCATCTCTTTCCAACCTGTAGAATATGACACACCCACTGATGTCATCATGGGTCACACTTCAGGTCAAGGTTAACCCAGTGGTGTAGTGGTAGTTGATCGACTAGATAGATGGGTAGGTTACAGAGGAGGTATAAGGACTATCCTAAACAAATAGTTCATGTTTGGTTGAAATGCTCCGAACCGTTCAAAATTAGGCGCGGGAACCAGAACATGGTCCACATTGGTGGAAAAGGAGTGGAAATGGTCTAAACACAAGCAGCTGTGCAAGTGCTTTGCCTAAATAAAATAGCCTAAAATTGGCAAATTTATGACATAAATTAGAAACTGTGGACAGTATACATGAATGAACTTTTGGGTAATTGATTAATCCAAAAGTCCATTTGCCCTACAGAGCCAGAACTATGCTGTCTTCCCGTCACTGTCACCATCAGTCGTTTCAGCAGATATAATGATAAAACCCTCTAGCAGCTGTAGAAATGATGTCTTTTGTTTGTCATGAAAAAAAAAAGAAAACAGTAGTGTAACAATATTTTAGATGGAGAAGATTGAAGTGGTTGGATGAGTCTACAAAATGTTTGACTAAAACATGAGAGACATTGTTTGTCTCCTGTTTCTAATTGACAGGCAATGTCTGTTTCTTTAAACCCTGACCACAATCATTCCCTAACCTTAACCAAGTCTTTACTGTTGTCATCATGGCAACAAAGCTCCCCATGGTATTAATGAAGTTCATTATTCTAACCCAAACAATTATCCTCTCCCCAACCCTAACCAGACCTTATCCTTAGCATATTAAGATCAGAGAACAATTGTAGATATGACTGTGTGTACCTTTTGGAGGCACCAACAAATAATGTGGTCCTGGTGTTTGGGCATTTATATGTGGACTTGTTTCCCTGGACATGTCATATGTATCAAATGACCAGTTACATTTATTACGTTAACAGTTTCACCATTGAAACCACCATTGGATTGTTTGAAAGAGAGAAAGCTTTAATGTTGGAAGGGAAAGAGACCAAAATTTGGGGGTGTGGGGGGATTTCATGAGTGAAATCTTTATATTTTGGGCATTAAGAGAATTTTCTTTTATGGACGAATGTGCTTCACACGGGGCACAGACTGTTCTTTCACTCCAGGTTTCTTCATTAATAAAAGTCTAGCTGAGAGTGAGTAGCTATAGATACTGTGCAGCCTGGATACACGAGGTGAAAGGTGTGTTTGGGTGTAATAACCACCAATGCAGCCTCACAGAGCAGAGTCTGGTCTGAGGTCAGAGGTCAGGTTGGGGTCAGCCGTTGTTACACACAGTTTGGGCTGCTCTGTAATTAAACTGGATGAGCTGGGATGAGCTGCGAAGCAGCAGATGTGACAAACCACAGTGAGGAGATTCAGCCGTGGGAACAGAGGGAGAAGAAGCTTGGCTGCTTTCTCTGAATCATCCCGAGGGAGAAAACTGACAGGGACTGTGGGAATGTTTGAGGAATCCTCGTGCATTCCCCTCAGTTTGTATTTGTTTACTTCAAGCAACAACAACTATAACTATGGATTATATTTGTAGCTGTGTATGAGTACATGTCTGTGTGCCAGTGATGAGAGAATTAGGCCTATGAAAGGCAGACCACAACATAACTTGCTCTGTGCTCGTGACCTTTAACCCCCAAGAGTTCAAGTTAAGTGTCGACTGCCTGTGTGTAGTCTATCAGATGCATCATGTGGGGTATCAGATGGCACCAAACTGACAAATCAATCATTTCTGAAGTTTTTATGTATGAGAGAAAGTTAAGTATGAACTAAAATCAAAATGCAATAAAAATGCATATATTTATTGACAAAATCCAAACTGATGCAATGTATTAAGCATAACACTGATACTAGTAACACATTTTTGACCAAGTATTGCCAGACACAGATAAACAGTGATGGGAAAAGTGTTGAGGTCCTTTACGTATTTTAATGAAACTAGTGATACAATAATGTAAAAAAGAAAAACTTTATTCATAATTTAGATTAAAAATCATGGGAGCATTCCCAACAAGATATTATTGCAGAAAGTATCAGAAAGATCAGATCAAAAGGAAAAGCCAACATTCTGGATGATGGACGATGTAAAAAGCCCACAATACTACAGTACCCCAAAATCTTGAGTAAATGTACTTATGGTCTACATTTGCTGTTAAACCGACCTATATGTTGGGCACTCCTATAAATTAATGAGTTGAAAGGCTGACAGACACTGAACAAACAAAACATATATTTCATTAGTTGAATGAGTCCTGCTCACAGCAGCTGCCAGGCAGTTCGCACTTATGGACATCTGATACACCGTACATAATGTTGGCACTATAGAAATGTGTGTGGGAAACATTCAGCCGTGGGAAAGTCACGTTAAACACTAAACCCTTGACCAGCGGTGGAGGAAGTATAAAGATCCTTAACTTAAATAAAAGTAGCAAAGTCATGATACACCATTACATGTCAAAACAAATGTATTAAAATGAATGAGATTATACTGACAGGGCCTACTGGCAGTAAATAGATATTGTACTTAATTGTTTATTAAATTCCTTAACAAAAGTCAAAAAGTAACATTCATGCTCATCGATAAAATGTATTTAAAGATCAAAGGTAAAAATACTCAAGTAGAACGCCTGCTTTCAGTGTGGACACAGGACATGTAACTTTGTTGGAGTTGCTTAGTGGTTACTCTTCAAACTTTCAGATTGTTTGACAAACATTTTGTGTGTGTTTGCAGTATGTGTGTGTTGGCAGTGCATCACGCAAACACTCAAACATTCCTCACATTTATTAACAGCACACGTGCAATTATATAATCTACTCGAGATGATGCAGCTCGTCCAATATGATCACAAACAAAGTCCAAATTCCTCCATCTCATAGTGCTTGAATGAAGGGAAGGAACAGAAGAGAGGAGGGGGGAGGTGGGGGGTGGGGGTGGGTGTAGAGAGCTGGCCGAACAAGGAGCTCTTTATAATGATTGACTCTTTACACGGTGACTCATCGTACTTCACAGGCCCGTCTGTGGCCTGAGGAGGCCTGTCCTCGTGTTTGCTGAATGACACACTGTGTTGTCAGAATGTCAGGATGTCGTGTTGGGATGTTTGGCATGCCGTCCCTCCTACATCTCACACACACACACACACACACACATCTGCTGCTATTGTATGCTGTCAATCTCTGCTTTCCTGGCATTATTATAACAACACGGATACTGCCAACGCAGGTTGTGCAAAATCTACAGTGTAAACTTAAAGAAATAATAATGAGTGAGGTGAGAAGTTTGATGCTACTGTCATGTCTGCACTTTAAATATGTCGAATAGCAGCAACCTAGCTTAGCGTAGTAGTAGTAGTAGTAGTAGTTGGAAACAGCTAGCCTAGCTCCTTCCAAAGATCTAATATATATATGCCTACCAGTACTTTCTGTGGGACTCAGGTCATCTGAGGGGCAGGGGACATTTAATGTAAATGATTCAGACTGTTCAATATGGGGAACTGTGGATGTTGAAATTAGATTCTTTCTTCTGCTTCAATATCCTGCTACCACAAACACACTTTACACACACAGCAGAGGTTCAGGGCCTCTTCTGGGGAAAGAAAAGCTGAGATTTTGAGAAAGAAGTTGGGAAATTTTAAGGAAGAAGTGGTGATGTTATGAGAAGACACTTGCCATATTTGTTTAACATAAAAGTACTGCTACTGGAAAAAAGTTGTAGTACATTGAAGCTCTGAAGTTGCAGACAAGAGGTAGACATGAGATGCCTGGGGATGCTTTTTGTTTCCACTTGCTGCCAGGAATCATAATTTCCTGAATAAGTCAAAGGTTAAAGAAACTGCCAACTTCCCATCCAAAATGATTGGTTATTTTAGTGTTTCCAGACTCTGGTGGATTCATGATCAAACAAATTGCAGAAAATGTGCCCTCTTGGATGCTCCCTTGATAGATAAAACATGGAAGGGCAACCTCCCTGGAGAAAAAGTGATGCAATACCTTAAAATGGAGAAAACTTGATGCTGTTTCATGCTCGAAAACTTCCTCTGCACTGGTGCCTGGCTGCATAAAGCTGGTGCCTTCTTTATTGTTTTTGCCCTGCCCCTCAGACAGTCTAAGTCTGCCACTGTCTGTTGGTGGTTTTATAATCCAAACAAACGTCTGGTCCAAACAAAAGAAAACATGTATTACCAGTTAGTAGGCAGTTTATGGAACAAAGTCACATTCTGCACTTTTTACAGTGTGTCTGGTTGAGTATCTGAGAACTGTGTAGTAACAGAGAACTTGTCTCTTTTTATCAGATTCCCGGAGTTTCCTCGACAGTATGAACCACACCGGCGGCTCCACAGAGGGAGAGCTGTTCAGATCAGAAGTGTCGGTCACTCCTGCGTCCTGTCAGAGGATCTTTGGCTCCATGTGCTCCATGTCATCAGACAGCCCCCTCCCACACACAGACAGGTACACACACAGACACACACACACACACACATCTGGTCTGGTCTATATGCGTAGTGTACATGATTTGGGTCTGCTAATGTTGCAGCATGTTACATTGTTCCAGCAATAATTCATGGCCACTGTAATGTAAAAATATAAATTTTGTGCTGCATGCACACTCTCTCTCTCATCACACAAGACTTGGACAAACAAAGCACAGTGTTCTGTCTCTTTCTGTTCTACAGCTCCACTCCTCCTCCTGTTTGGCACGACCAGACTCCAAACTCCCTCAACTCCCCGTATCCCCCTCAGCCTTCACCTCCTCTCTCCCTCAACACTCCCAATGCTCACAGCTCTCCCCGGAGGGCTCTGAGAGGCCTGGGTGGAGGTCCAGGGGCGCGCAGAGAGACAGACAGCACAGACTTGTCCTCGTTGTTGGGGAACGGAGGCCTGGAGCACAGCCTGCTGGAGGCCATGGAGGGCCTCGGGAGTCTGAACCTCGGGGGAGACAGTGGCCTCCCTCCACTGCTGCCTGAGAAGAGGAGAGGGGGTGAGGCAGGAGAGCTTGGCTCCCACTCCCCCTCTCTGAGCGGGTTTTCCAGCCCTCACAGTGGCAGCAGTCTCAGCATCCCTTTCTCTTCCTCCATGACCCCTGAACCCCTCAGAGGACTCAGTGGGGCCCCATCGCCCGCAGCAGGTACACTGTCCAAGATTTTTTTCTTCCTGTCACTGTCTGTGGTTTGGTTCTGTCTCCTTCTTATAAAGAGTTAGCTACTCAATATTAGAAAGAACATCGAGCATTGACCAATTCCCAAGCTCATTCTTCAGTCCCTCAAGAAATTCATGTTTAGTCGAAATCCTCTTTTTTTTTTTTTTTTTTTTAAATTTAATGTTTATTTAATAAGGAAAATTCTCTTCAAAATCTCTGGTCCTGGCTAAAATGGGCTGCGATAATAATCAATTCAATAGAATTCAGCTAACTTCTCCAATATTTGCGAGAGCTTGCATTTTTTTTTTTCTAATCACCACAATGTTTCCACAGAAATAAAGTTGAGTTGATTTTCCCAATGTCCCCTCTTGCCTGTGAAAATAATCCAGTTTTCAACCAAAAACTTCTGACTGCACTCAGAAGTACTATATTTTCTCAGAACTTACTTATCCCCTTTATACTGCTCCAACCAAACATCTTCAGTTGACCATTTTTAAAGTTACAGAAACTGAACCATCTCTAAGCTATTACCCTAAACTAACCACTGCGTGTGTGGATTGTGTTGGTGATCCATAGACTTGATTCAGGGCGAGAACAAAAACCTTACATACGTGCATTCCTGGCTAGCTATCTACACAGACTAGAGGCTACTGCTACTTGCTGCACTAAAACAGAACTGGTGCAAATTTGATCACCAGTATGTTGCTGCAAATCCATTTTGGTGCAACATGATCTCATCCGTACTCATGATGATTTACTACTTGCAGGAGCCCAGCATTACTATAATGACATCATTGGCAGCCTTTTGTGTTGCATCTTGACGCAGAAGGGGTTGTCAGTTAGTTTTAGGCAACGAAACTACTTGGATATGGTTAGGAAAAGATTGCTGATGTTGCTAAAAAACACCCGGTTTTCAGTGGCACAAAAGCTGCCGCCAATGTTGTTGTGTTTTGGTCTCAAACACTGGTCCCCTGGGTACTTGCTGGACCCATCCTCCTCCCCTCCTGCCCGCCCTAAGCAGACTTTCACACTGTTTACACTACATCCATTGCTCTGAGTGTCTACTAATGACATGAATGGGTTTACTAGGAGTTTGTGGAAAGACTGGTGCGTCTCACACAGATGCAAAAGGGTGGCACTGCTCAAGCGATGTATGTTGATGCCCCGGGAGTGAGAGGAGACTGCATTTTAGGTTATAAAAATTACAACACCTCCCCTGCAGCGCCTGTTGCCAGCCCAACACAATGGAGAGAAATGGGCAATATTTATTCAGTAGGAAGGAGCTCCAATTTAGTATTGAAGGGACTTTTGGCAATAAAACAAGTCTTGAATTTTGGGAAATAGTTTAGAGAGGAGAAAAAGTAACATTATGAGTTTCGAAATCACAATTTTTACAAGAAAAAGTCATATGTAAAAAGTTAAAATGCTGAAATGGAGTTATTTTGAGAATAAAGACAGGATATTACAAGAAATGGGTTTTACTTTTTTGAAAAACAATGTTTACTATTTGGAGAATAACCTAATACTAGTCTATAGATTATCGTTAGTAACAGGGACATCGTCACAGGAACTACAGGTTGAGTTTTTAGAAAATTTCAGTGCTTTCAAAACCACAAACACAACTGGTTAGATACAGTATAAACAGAGTTGAGTGATAATACATTTTTAAACTTTTAGGATTACTGACCCTTTAACAAGTCTCTCTCTCTGTCCTTTTTCCTGCCCTGTCTTGTCATATTTGTGCCAAAGCCTGTCTGAAACCTGACGTAGAGCTTTAATCTGTGTCTCGCAGACTTTGGCAGTAAGCAGGACACTGTGAAGTTTGTTCAGGACACTTCCAAGTTCTGGTACAAGCCCGACATCTCCAGAGACCAAGGTAAATATTGGTGTTGGACAGGAGAGCCTAACGGACATGTCCCAGCACATAATACGGCCCTTGTGCAAAGCCCTGCTGCTTGTACAGTATGAACATGATGATTCTAACTTTAGCTTATCTGTGTTCCCTCCCCCCTGTTGACCTACTGAACAGCTATCGCAGTGTTGAAGGACAAAGAGCCAGGCTCATTCATTGTCAGAAACAGTCATTCATTTCGCGGGGCGTATGGATTGGCCATGAAGGTGGCTACGCCTCCTCCGTCTGTGTTACAACAGAGTAAGAAAGGTAGGCTGAACATGTCGAGTTTTTTCCTGGATGTGATCCCTGCAACCAAGCTATTTTACAGAAACTGTCTTCCATGTGGAGGAAATATGCACAGCCTTCAGTTGTGATTTACATACATGTACATGAGATTTTTACAGATACAAAAACTTTCTGTGAATTGTCAAAGTTCCAAAAACTTCTACCAACAAGTTTAACACCTACAAGTAGAACACAAAAGAAAGCACTTCCAATTTAATTGAGCTTTTTTCAGCATTATAAATTAGTTAAGTGAGAAGTTCATTCATTTTTTCAGTTATGTTTTATGTGTTAAACAATGTGATTTTTTAGACAGTTTCAAAGGGATAGACACATATTTGTCTCGTTTAAATCGTTTAAAAAAGTTCTATCTACCAGTCAGTAACAACATATCTGTGTAAATTAAACAAAATATTTTCTCTGTGTCTCTGCAGTAGGGGACCTGTCCAATGAGCTGGTGAGACACTTCTTGATAGAGTGCACGCAGAAAGGAGTTCGTCTCAAGGGTTGCCCCAACGAGCCGTACTTTGGTGAGAGTATTAAAGTTTTATAAAAGTGTCTCACTTTTTCTGCCCTGGTTTAACTAATGTGGAATTCTAATACTTTCTAAAAATATTGTAAAATGCATATAATGTGGTATTATGATATGAACATGGACTGTGATATTGCAGATTTTCCAGGAATTCATTTGAGAAGCTACTTATGGATAAAATAGATATTGTCTCTTTTTGGCTTATCCAGTGAATTGAACAGCAGTCAATACAAATTGAGATACTTTACCCCACTGATGCAATGATATACAGAATAAAACACTCATACACTTTATCAAACAGCCTTTACACAGGATTATTACAGTGGCTTGTTCGTCAGCTGAGTGGAAAATATAAATAACAACTTGAAGAAAAGTAAACCAAACTGTTTCAACATTAACAAGTAAAAATAACAAGTTAAAGTGCTGTTGCGTTAATACTGTATGTAAGCAGTATTCTAATGTGGAGGCTGGTCCAGGAGTTACAAATGCAAACTGCTTTTCCTAGTAAGTTTATCTACTGCTTTGCATCAGACTTTAAAGAACTTATCTCATGTGTTATAAAATATTTATTTGCAAAGTAATTAGATAGTACTGTTGTCAGAAAAATGACGCTATGTTCTACAGGTCTGTAGTTATCAGGAGGTTACTGACCTGTAAAATAAAGCATTGCAGATAAAAGTTTAGGAGTAAAATGAGCAATATTTCCCTCTGAATTTTAGTGGTAGAAAAACAGAAAATAGCATCAAACTAAAATATTAATGGCTACAGTAAAGTACCAGTTCTGTCCAATGAGCCTAGTCCAGGGTTGTTGCACTCTAGATGTAATAAAACACTTTTGATCTGTGCCAACATTTTAAAATGCTGTCTTCAGGACTGTAAGTCAGTCCGGTGAGAAGTTTGCTTCCTCAAATCCATCTGTTAAAAGTTCACCAGGGAGGACCCACTGAGGTTAATACAGTACAGTATCCCAGGATTGTAATGTGTTTCTTGTGCCACCCTCTACTGGTCAGTGTAATGAGGTACAGCTGGCTCCATTATACATCAGTCTATATGGTGGGGCTTTTTGTGAAATGTTGATTATGAATGGGTTTTTTTCCTTACAGGAAGTCTCACAGCTCTGGTGTGTCAGCACTCCATCACCCCTCTGGCTCTGCCCTGTAAACTCATCCTGCCTGACAAAGGTAAATTACAAACAACAACTTCCTCAGTATAGCCTCACAAGAATGAACCAGAACAAACAAAAACAAAAACACCTATGGACACCACGGGGGGTGCAACACTAATTTTTAGCTGCATAATATTGAATAATCTGTCACTTCTTATAGAATTAACAAACCATCACCAAGGCGAGCAGCCACTGCAACGACAAACACATAAGCAAAAAGAGAGCCTACACAGTTTTTACACACCACGTAGTGGAACACACTGTCTGTACATCATTCCGTGAGTCTCGTGCAATGCAAAGTCCTTCACAGTCTGGTCCAGGTATAACTTCTCTGCTCGTCCATTGTCAATGCAAAATATAAGCAGTCCACTCAGCCTCTCTGTCCCAGTACAACCAGTCCACAAACAGCAAAAAGGCCTTACACACCTCACCATCAGTAAACTCAGAAGTCACAGCTAGAGACTCCAACGGCATTTTAGCATATTAGCATGTTAGCCAGACCCAGCATGCACTCATTGTTCATAGTGGGTGTGTTTGATTTTGGTCACTTCGGGTGCTCAGCAGATGGTGCATTAAATCAGTGATAAACTAAGGTAGACGTATTCTTTTAAGCCAAGATACAGTAAAGAGAATGATGTAATTTGTCACTTCTACTACTGTTTAGGACATTGTCTTCAACTTTACTGTATTCAAACAGCACATCACCTGAAGAGTGTCTGCACACCACACTAATGCATTTAAGAAATTCTGTCTTTTTTTTTTTTTTTGGAGAAAATTTTGATAATACTGTGGAATTGTTTTTAAAAAAGTGGAATCTTGGTTTCACTACCCAGACAGCTAGATGATCTTAGCCTGCATCAGAATTCTTAACAATGTTGGATTACAATGACAAGCAAAAGTTTTATTTATTTATTTTACTAAATAGTGTCATTCTGAGTATGATTATAATTATGAGACTTCTTGAAGGTAAAATGTGTGAATCAGGTTTCAACATCACTTTGCACAAACCACAGACCATTCTGTGCATTTATATTTGTCAACTTCACATCCATAGTTTTCTTGCTGCAGCCAGTGTAATGTTGTTTATATGTTGAAATATTAAAGAAATGAATATTTAATGTGTTTGTTTTAAAACTGCAATTAGATTTGAATTGCTTCTTTTGGTAATAACAGTTTTCAGCCATTCCCACCAATGCATGTAAGTGTATGTGTGTGAGCGCGTACATACCCAGTACGAAAGCATCATTTGCATTCAACTGGCCACTGCACAGATACAGTTTGTGTGTCACTAAACTGTCTGTGTGTTGTTGCTTGCAGACCCAGTGGAGGATCTGAATGACTCGTCTACACAAACAGCGACAAACTCAGCAGCTGAGCTTCTCAAACAGGGAGCAGGTATGGGACAGACACCACATATGTACACAGATCTGTGTGTTTGTTTGACTTGTGTGTGTGTGTGTGTGTGTGTGTGTGTGTACAGCTCATTCATTTATTTTCTTCACACCCTGCATCAGTTATAACCTCCATGAAGTTTCTATCTACTACAAAATACACAAACCACCATAGTTTTGTGTCAGTAAACAAAATTAGTATATAACTTCATTTTTTTATTGTGTGCTGAACTGTTCCTTGTGTTACTGTGTAGCATGCAATGTGTGGTACCTGGGCTCTGTGGAGCTGGAATCTCTGACGGGACATCAGGCAGTTCAGAAGGCGACCACAATGACGCTCTCCATGGACCCCCCTCCGGCGTCCACCGTCGTCCACTTCAAAGTGTCGGCACAGGGAATCACGCTCACTGACAACCAGAGGAAGTGAGTGTTCAAACATGTGCAGTACAAACACTCACAGATACAGAGAGAATCAACATGATCACACTGATGGTCTCTGTTTGCTTCTGCAGGTTGTTCTTCAGGAGACACTACGCTGTCAACACTGTCATCTTCTGTTCTCTGGACCCACAGGGCAGGAAGTGAGTATGACATATTTGCACATGTCATATCCTTCTTTAAATGTTATTCATGTACACAAGTACAGTATAAACAAATATTAAACAGGATTAGAGCCTGTAATTTAAATAGCTTTATTAGCTGCTGAAAATACCACAAAAAGTCACAATTCATATTATACGTATAATATTGTGTAATATACACTATATGAGATGATTGCAGAATTTGACTAAAATCGGCATGCTGTATAATATAATTTGATATCCTGCTATGACCATATTTGGAGGGTACAAAGACTGTCACTCATATGGTTAATGCGATATTAATGTATACATGTGATACATATATTTGTAGATTTGATGGCTGATAATGTTATGAAAACTGTTGTTTCTCTGTCCCAAACAGATGGACAAGAGGCAGCGGCTCTACTGCGAAGTAAGTCCTTTTTCTTTACTGTCTTTTTTCTGTCATGGTTCTTTTGACTCTGTTATAATGCACTGTATTTACATTTTTCTTACTAGTGCTAGTACTAGTAAAAAAGTTGCTGACATGAACTGCATCTTGATTCACACTGATAAATCTGAAAATTCTGGAGTCTTCCGAGGGGTTGCAGGAAGAAAGAAATAACATGCAACCAATAGATGCCAAAAAAACAAAACAAAAGACCATTATGTAATTAAAAAACAAACAAACAAGACTTCATCTTGATTCAGCCAAGTTAGTAAGACTGACTGATAATGTTCAGAGGTTCAGCACTGAAAACTGAGGCGGCCTTGAAGTTATTCTCCATCCTAAATCTGTCTTTAAATATCAAACACTCCCCACCCGTACAGTTACAAAGAGATTGTGATTTCTTTCCTCATGAAGCAGGGTTGTGGTTACCTTGAATCCATGTGAATAACATTACTTTCCTGTGCTGCCAAGTTCTCATGGCAAAGTTGAAATTGTTGCTCTCCAAAGCTCCCAAATGTCTGTCATAATTCTGGGGCATTTATGCTTTTATTAAAGAGTCAGTGGAGTCTAGAGAGTCACACAGAGATGATTGGAGATAAGAGGATAGAGACAGATGGGGGATGAAATGCAACAAAGGTTCCTGAATGTTGCAGTTTGTGGTCTGTGCTCCAAACCACAAACATGTAGCTGTATTTCAGCTAAAACACATTTAAGCAACATAGTGAAGAATATACAATGGATAATTGAATTTTGCTGCAGGAGTGGTCTGAGAGATTGTTTTTTTTTCTGCCACAAAAACATTTCTGTCAAAGAGAGAACAACAAACCTTTTACAGTGACATTTTAATCCTACAAAATCTGATACTCAAAGGAAGGAGTATAACTTAAAGCAAGACTCTGAACTTCTATCTGCTCACGTAATTTATAAAACTGTAGTTAAGCTCTAGAATCTGCTCTTGTTTAATAGTTATGTTTGTCTTTTTCCTTTTCCTCCAGGATCTTTGGATTTGTAGCAAGGAAATCTCAGAGTGAGACTGAAAACGTGTGCCACCTGTTTGCTGAACACGACCCCGAGCAGCCAGCAAGTGCCATCGTCAACTTTGTCTCAAAAGTCATGATTGGGTCACATAAGAAGTAAGGAGGGAGAGACTCACTGCAGATTGGAGAGGATGGACTGGGGATTAACTGCCAACCCCAACACCAACTTTTGCTCCCAAGAGCCAAAAACTATGAACCCAGACACTCTCATGTATTTTGTACCGTCTGCACTGCAGGATGCCGCCACCAGAGGGAGCCGAGACTGTTATGTATAAAGTAAAACTTACCAGCAAGACATTGAAAGTACTTTAAGATGCATCCTCAGAAGTTTTTGTATAAAATTTGTATGAAATCATGCACACTTTTCCAAGAGGATCCAGTAAGAAAATCTGATTTTGACCATTTTATCAGACCTGTATCTTCAAACTTTCTGTAAATGTACCATATTACACTGACTTTGCTTGTTGCTGGCACTCACAGCTGACAAATACAACACTCTTATTCTGATTACACCCAGAAAATATCTGATATTCTGCGCATAAACACATATTTTTAAGTATGAATATAATTCTGAAAGCTTTTCTTTCCAGTAAAAATGTGTAAATCAGGTTTCAACATCACTGTTGAGCAAACCACAGACCCATTTTATTTGTTAAATCAAAACCAACAATACTGTCTCATGACAAAGCCAGTTATGTGGTCGCCTTATACTTAAGATGGATTTTTTTGTGTTATGTTTATAGTATTTATCCCTTTTTACAGATGTGTAAAAGTCTCTCTTTTTTCCTAAATATACTTGTCATATATTTTTGTATATTAACATACTGTACATTAGAATTAAAGGCAGTGAACCTCAGAATCTGTATAATTATGTCACATATTGTTGTAGTATTTTACATACAAGATACTACACAGGCTGCCCATGTATACTTGTTGTATTACTAATATAGATGTCAATATGTTTCTTTCACAATAACTCCAATACAGATATATGTACAGTTATTATGCCATGAAAAAGTCACTCTGATTTTCACTAATAAGAGATCAAATGCAGTCACTGTGAGAAATGTCAAACTTTTAGTCCACCTCAGTGTTTTTTTTTCATGCACAGCTTCCTCTTGTCATCAATGTCATCTTCTTTTGCTGATTTGTAAATGAACATTGATCTGTTACCGCAGCATTTCTAATTCTGGCATCTTATTAAAGTATTGGTGTGTCTAAGTCCCATAAAGAAAAACACATTATCATACTTGTGGCATCTAACCATGCAGATAGTTTTGGTTTTATTTGCTCATGTTTTCTTTTTTAATATGGTTTTAATTTTGATTTAAAACAAACAGATAAAAAAAAGTGCCACTCCCACAAACCATGGTGGCGGAACCCTCCCCATAGTCACCACAAGATCTCCAAATAAAGTAGTCCTGTCACAGTGACTCAGTATTGCTATTCATTTTCATCATGCAGAACTTCATGGATGGACACGCACAAAAAGCAAATCATTTAGGACTAAGATAAGAAAAAGAATAAAGCTCAGGGCAACATATACAATTCGTTACATCCATGTAGCACCCAAATTGGAGTATATTTGTCAAGGTTTTCAGATATCAGTCGGAGATTCTGCCAGAAATCTGCTTTCATCTTTGTTCAGTTATATTTTCTTAGTAATTTCCTAAAACAGTTGGGCACTGTAGTTTTTAGCAAACATTACTCAAACAGAAGGAAATCGTGCATTTGTTGGGGACTATTTTCAGTGGCAGATTAATCCACATTTGGTGCTTTAGTGAGTATTTGGGACAGCAGGACAGTGTACGTGTGACAGAATCAAAATAAACTACAGTGTATTCATGGTAATGAAGGAACATGTCACCCTGTGTGACAGTGTGGCTCATAGATGTGTTTTTAGTAGTTTTTGGATAACAATGGAACTCTATGGCACAGAGGAAGAATATATATCAGGCTTTGATACACACACTTTATACTTTTTGGATGTTGGATTGGTTGAGAATAAGTCATTTAATCTTAAAGCAAATATCTCAAAACCTCTACAAAGAACACAAAAACTGTCTGCATGTCTAAATAAACTGGTGGGGGGAATGATTTTGGGGTGAACTGACCCTTTAAAATCTAACGTTGTAGCTTACAGTGTGCCCAATAGATGGCAGTAATCAGCCACCAAATTTCATGCTGCAAACTTAATCCAAGTACAGATGAGTGGAGGTCTTACTAAAATGCACAGAATTTGAAGGTCTTTCACAAATATCAATTTTCTGAATGACTATTTATTTGATTATCAGTTCTTCTCTTCCTTCATGCTTTTATAATCATACTATTTATTTATTTATTTTTTTTACCAAGAAACAGTTGCAAAAGGACCTGAGCAGGTCCACACATGCAGGAAGAACCACCCCCTTGAATAAACTTGGCAATGTAAAAGTGTGTCCAAGTTTGAGTGAGAGTGTGTATTTGGGAAAGAAAGCATCCGAGGGTGTGCACTTGACAGAAATAGGTGGTTAAATGCCTGATAGGCCTCCAGGTGCCTCAGAGATCTGCTGATCTGTCTGTCTCCAGCCTGTGTGTACTGGTTGAGACTTTTTTAGAGGCCAGATCATCAGATACCAGTTTTGAATGAGGCTCTATTCAGGTTCCTGGTCTCTGTGGAGAGAGCTGTGGAACTGGAAGTGGGACAGAGACATGGGGACACATCCCAGTCCTGCAGTCTTGCTGGCCTGGAGAAAGAGGGACAGCAAAGAGGGTGGAGGGGGGGTGTAGTGATGGTGTGTGTGTGTGTGTGTGTGTGTGTTTGTGTGTGTCTGCGTTGGGGGTGGGGGTGATGGAGGTGGTGGTGGGGTGGTTGTCGGTGGTGGATGACCTCACCATTACGGGAAACTTTCCCACAGCCTGCACACAAAGAAGGCCGTCAAAAGGTAAAAAGGATGAGAAAGAATAGAAATTTAACACAGTGTGTAAAAAAGGAGCCAAAGTGTGGAAGAGCGGTTAGTCGATGAGAAAGAGGCTCTTTCGGAGGGGGAGTTGTCTTCCCTTTTCAACAACTCACAGATTTCAGGCTTGATAGAAGCTCAGAAAGACCTGAGAGAGAGTCTGCTCACAGTAGCAACCTTCAGTTTGGCTCCTGTCCTCTCTCTCTGCTGAGTCACCTGCCGCCATTTTGTCCCCTAGCTGGACCTCTGCTTGCACTTCCTGCCGCACTTCCTGTCAGGCGGCCCACCAGCACCTGGTGGCCCGGCGGTTTTCACAGCCGCCGCCGCCGCTGCTGCTGGACGACATCACATTCCTGGCATTGCTCGCTCCGAATGCTGTTTGGAAATCCAAAGGCCAGCTTCCGTTCGGGAATGCCTCCCTCACAGAGTCCCTCTCAGCCTCTGATCCCCGGCCTCCTCTCACTTTATTTGAGTTAGCTATTTAAAGCCCATGCTAAGTGTGCTGCTGCTCTGGCTGCACAGGGGAGCAAACACACACTCCATCTCACACACTAAAACCACACCGGCCCACAAATAATCCCTCTCCTATTTTTAATTTGGTGGGCTGTAGGGACACAGCCTGCAGGGCTGACTGCGACCAGGCTGACAAACGTAGTGATTTTCTTTTTTATTTGTCATGTGGTGCTGTTACCACACCAAATATGGTTAGTATGTAATTAGCTTTGAGAGATATGATATATGGCTGCAGAAATTAGTGCTATCACTAATTATACTGTTCATTATAGGTGAAAGATACATTTACTGAAGTGCTGTACTCAGGTAGAGCTTCAAGGTACTTGTACTTTGTTTGAATATTTCAATTCAATGCTACTTTTTGATTTGTCTCTGCTACCTTTTATAGGGAAAGTTTTTTTATATACTTTAGTTCATTTAGCTGGCAGAGTACTTTAAAGTAAACTTCATTTTACTTGTAATGGATTAGTTTTACTCTGTAGTATTGATACTTTTCCTCAAGTAAAGGCACTCAAGTCCCAAGTCAAGACCCAAGTCCTAAACTTTGAGTTTCAAGTTCTGAGCAAGTCATAATGTGCTCCTCACCAAATGTAATGCCATTTTAACAACAGAGTAATAATATATTACATTTACAAAAAACACAGTTTTTAGAAAATATGTTCACATGTTTGTTTTTTGTTGCCAACCACACAGTTTTGGCACACAAACAGAATTATCTTTGGATTCATTTTTTCGAACTGGTGCTCATTAACTCAGTGTTAGGTCTTTATGGTTCTCTCCCACAACTTGATTTGATGTTGTCAGATTTGTTCAAAGAAAGTGGTTTTGTTTGTTCATTTGGAAAATAATTGGTTTGTGGCACAATTTTTAAAATAACATATTTTTAATTTTTGGGCTTGGGGGAAGGTATCAGGTATTTTCAAATCAAAAGGCTAAAGTCCAAGTGAAGTACTGAATCACTGATGCTAAAATTTAAGTCAAGTTCCAGGTCTTTTTTTATTTCGTCATGTCAAGTCTAAAGTCATTGAATTTTTGATTGAGTCAGACTTGAGTCCGAGTCAGACGACTCGAGTCAATACCTCTGGACTCTGAGCACTTTTCCCACCATTCTTAGGGTTAAGATACGAGAGAAGAAGAAGAGTAAATAACTGTGCTGTATGCATTGGAAAGGAACATCTACCATGAAGTTTTATAGCATTTTCAAAGTTTTGCCACCAAATGCTGTGCAACTACACCCACCAAACTTTTCTTTAGATTTTAGTGGCAATCTCAAAGTTTCGAAAAAGTATTGGGGAAATGTGTATGACCTGATGATGACCCATGATGACACATTACATCTTAAATATTTTTGTTTGAATATTTCCTTTTTGAAACAAGCTGATCCAAAATAGGTTATACTTTATTTTATACTGTCACACATAATGGAATGAGATGATATCTCCAACTGTAAAGCTACATTGGTAACTTTCTTTTAAATTGTGTCATTTTTAACATCTACTTTATTTTAATGGGGGTACTAATTTCTTCATTATCTCTGGTTGTATTATTTTAAAACTAGGTTGGTTCATTTGACAAAATCTGCTGTGAAATTATAGAAATTTGAGATTTCCTGTACAGTTTATATTTGAGTAGCTCTTTCTTTAAAATCTCTGCTTGAGTTGGGACTATTGAGCAGGACTGCTATATGGTAATATTGGATCTGCAGGATTTGTGTGTCAGTGTGATGGATATCATCAGGCATTTAGCCAAAAAGAGATACCTGTGTGTGTAGTTAACAGCTTCTTGACAGACGTATCACTGACCCCCAATGGTAATCAACCCTTTCCACACACATACACCTATATGTGTTCTTGTATGTGCAGGAAATGAGAGTTAATACAGAAACATCTTGTTTTGGATTTAATGATAAGACACTTCCAACAACAGAGAAACATGAACGCACCACAGAAATATGATTCTAATACACAACGGCGTGAGAAACCCACACACTTACATGGTGAGTGTGCACAGGTTCACAAAGTTCACACACACACACACACACACACACACACACACACACACACACACACTTGCATGCCAATCAAGATTTCTGGTGTACGTGCTCTCAGGCACAAGCTGAGAAAGCAGTGCCTTTATGGCGGCCCTCTTCATTGCATTGTCTCTGATATAACTGACTGAAACACACACACACACACACACACACACACACAAAAGGCCTGGGTACTTGGGTATCAGCGTCAGTCTTAATGAACCTGTCTCCAGGGGGCGGGGCCGGGTAATGTCCCACACAAAGAGCTCCCGCTGGGCCACCGAGCCAACCAGAGGCCAACAGATTAACTTGCATTACATCAGCATCCCCACAATACACCTAATGAGGGAGGGATTATGTGAGTAGGTGTGTGTGTGTGTGTGTGTGTGTGTGTGTGTGTGTGTGTGTGTTGGCTCTCATGCCATTGCATCACTAATTAAATGCGATGACTCACTTTTGCTGATTCAGTGTGCATTCAGCTGCACAAGCTGAAATGTTTGGGGTTGTGTCTTAACATACATTTTGCCTCCTTAAAGATGCTCTAATCAATATTTTCATATCAACAGTGAATCAGATGACTATGTGTGATGTGAAAGATGTTGCCTTTAGTGACAAACCCACAGAGAATTATCACCAACTCGCCTCTATGAAGCATTTTGGCATCTTTCAGCTCATTGTTTTTGGTTCCAGCAGCAGTAGTTTTCAGCAAAAAGGTTTTGGTAAAGCCACAATACACTACCTGCTCAGCACTTAACAGACAGGCACAGTCAGAGACTAGCTGGTGAACATAGTGGAGCATTTAGCAGCAAATGCCAAGTTTACACTTTGCAGTTCACACTACATAACTTGCTGTGTCTTGATATCATTGTGGTTTTCACACTACATGACTGACGGGTGACACAGGGTCACACACTACAAGATCTTTCACTGGGAGGAATACCAGATGAGTATG